GGGGGTGGAATGGCTCTCAGAAACCTAGAAAAAAAAAAATCTCCTCCCAGAACATTTTCTCTCCAGCTACCAAGATAAGGCCAGGCCAGCAGGCTGCCCCACCTCGGATGAGGCTGGTTCTCTGCAGAGTGTCTATGCTCCCTGGGTGATGGGGGCGCTGCGGCTGGGGCAGAAAGACAGCAGCTCTCTCCTCCGGGCCCCTTTCCACTTCCTCCTATCCTCAGTCTCCACTTCATTCATTCATTCACTGATCTTTCTTCCTAGCACTGGCCTCACATTATCTGTTCCTAGGCCAGAATGTCAATCCCCAGGGGCAAGGGCCCCTAGAAGACAGCCTGGCTCAAGACGGTTGCTCATTAATGATTTTTTGAATGAGTGAATGAATGAATGAGCTTAATTTATTCAGCAATCAAGCATGTACAGAGCACCTACTGCATACACAGCTCAGCATCAGGTGCAAATAGCCTCACAAAGACACCCCCTAGTTTGTACTATGCGAGAGGAGGCACGAGGTGACTTGCCCCCGTAGTTAAAGCAGAATCAAGGACATTCTCGTGTAGTTGAGGAGAGCCTGGTGGGCACTGCAGTGATCAGGGTGGGCTTCATGGAATAGGCAGACCGGTCTAGGATTTGCAGAGTGCACAGGAGGTAGACCTTTCCTTCTCTGACCTCTGGCTTTTCTTCTCTCGCCTGCCCCCCATCCAGATGATTCCAGGCCACATCCCCATCCTGACCTGGTACTTCCTGTGACCACCAACAGGCTGGAATTCTGGGCTCATCCCAAGACCAGGGTTCAAGAAACTGGCTGCTCAGGTCTGTCGGGCCAGAAAGGGGTTTGCCAGAGAAGCTAGCCACTTCCTCCTAAAATGTGGGTGACCTGACCAGAGGGGATGACAGATGGGGATGACAAATTGGGATGGTTCCCTCCCCAGCTGGAGAGGCAGGGCATAGCAGCTACATGGGCTGGCAGGGCTGGAGGCGGGGTGGGTGGTGGTGGTGTGGTTTGGGGCAGAGGTGATTCAGATTGTCCTGTTTGGGGTCAGGGTGTCCCTGTCCCAGGCACGGTGGCCTCTGCTGTCCCTGCACAGGAGAGGGAGCTATGCAGAGACAGTCACTGTCATTGCCCTTCCCTGTGCCCATCCCTCTGGGCAGATGGTCACAGCACCTTTGGCAGCTTTGGCCTCGGTCCCACGTCCAGCCTGAGGTTGCGGCAAGGGCACCAGCAGCCCAGGACTCATGAGTTCTTGGGGCCGGTCCCAGTCCCACAGATTCGCTGGTGCACACGGCCCGTCCGGGCCTTGTTGGCTCGGTCTGCAAATGGGTGCCTCCGTGTCTGTCCTGCTCTCTGCTCCCACCTGCTGTCATGCTCACAGCACAGCACCCGGGTGCTTAGCGCCTCGGCCCAGAAGTTCAAAGGGGACGGGTCCTGAGAGCTGCCACCTGGGTGTACTTGGGCAAGCGGCTTCACCACTCTGTGACTCCATTCTCCCACCCACACAGTGGTGTGCCAGCAGCCTCCCAGGGTGGTTAGGTCTGAATGACTCTAAGGCTTTCACACGATGCTTTTCACACAGTGTGGCAGGTGCTCTCCGATGCCATGGGAAATGAATGGGAAAGTCCCTTGCGAGTCATAGGGTCATAAATATAACCAGGGGTGGCTTCTTGGATGGCGGATGATGGCATAGTTCTTTGGTGCTCTTTGAAAAGCCTGCCCCCCTCCCCCGCCCCCCACCCACCCCCGAGAGCGAGCGCCACGCCCTCCCTGGAATCACGGGGCTCTGGGAGCGCGGTTTGGAGCCCCGGGAAGCAGTTCTGGCCACTCATCCTCTTTCTTCATTCCCTTAGAGCCTCAGACTGTACCACCACCCCACGCCCATGGGGAGGTCTCCCGTGTGGCCAGCCTGCCGGGAAGGGACAGGATTCAGGCCTTTCTGCAAAGTTCTCTCCTCTGTGACCTCTTGTGGGATCGAAAGTAAGGCCACCAATAGTGGGAAACTAGACATCTCACTCACTCGGCCTGGAGGGCTACTCCGACAAGGACACAGCATGTCGTCCGTGCTACGCCTGCTAAAAACACTTACCGTCAATTTAATCACGTGGAAACAGCAGACAGACCCAAATCGAGGGACGTCCTACAAGACGACTGGCCTGG